GCAAAGATGAAAGAGCACTCAAGTCCATTGTGGTTATTTGGGTATCAAGGGGAAACTGAGGGTGCATGGCCCTTTCCTCTGGCCATGTCTCCTATGCTGGGAGCCAGGAGAAGGGGTTGGGAAGGGGCAGGCACCATTGCCCTAAGCCATGGAAAGATTCCCGCATGCCACACAAATCTTCCGCCAGGCACATCAAGGGGTCTGGTTGTGCATTGTACTGGGGGATGGGCATAAAGCAGACTTCATGGACTACAGTCAGGCCCATAGTCTTTGCTGTGTCCCCTGGTTATTTTCCCCCACCCAACCAGCATCACCAGATCCAGCTTCAATGAACTAGTTCTCATCTGAGCCACAGACTCAGGCTGAAATGACCATACTGTCTGGTTCTGATGAAAGAGACAGTGCCATCAGAATTTGAAGGGTTCCAGGTGAACAAATCATTTACAGTGCATGGTTTATGTGACAAATACAGCCTTTCTCTGCAGGGGAAAATCCAGGAGTGGATTGCAATTTACGCCAATGTATTTACTCAGCAGTCTTTGACAATATTTGTATACAGAGTTTGAAAAATGTGAACATGGGCCGTTCTTGCATCACTATTTAAGGGTTGGTTAGTTGTGATTGGTCAGATGAGTTGCATGGATGTTCCTTCATTTCTCTAGAACTTTTTACCTTGAGTTAATTAATATCTAATTAACTCAACAAACAGCAAGTTTGTAAGGGTGAATATGGATTTAGTGATCCTCAGGGTAAAAAAACAAACATTTGGAGCCTGGATCAAATGTGTGGCCAGTGTCCACATCAGTCTTTACAAATATGCTTGGTGAAGGAGTGTGCATGTTCTCTTATAGCAAGAACTCACACCTTTGCATTTAAAATTCAGGTTGCACCAGTACTTACACCTGGAAATCTGACATCGCTTTCGTGAATGTTCAGGCCAGTAAAACTGAACTGCATGTGGATGGAAAGTGAACATGAAAACAGAGGGAAGGCTGAAAGCAGCTAGCATCAGTGGGATGAGAAACAGGGAAGATATATAGGAAAAACTGTTTAGAGCTACCAATTTGCAACAACCCACGATGCCTACATATTGTAAAGATCTCGCCACCCCTGGCTTTAATCACTTCAACTCTTGATAGTATTATGCATTTCCTTTACTCCCATCCCACTTTGTATTGGCATCCATGCATAAATTGCAGATTCTTTCCAAAATTGCCCACACTAGTAAAAGCCAATCCCCTGAAAGTACTGCAGTTTTATAGCTCTACCCAAGCAAATGACAGCTGAGTTCACGTAAGTCATGGTTGGGCTGCATTTATTTCTCTCGGCTGCTAAAATGCATTTAGTTCTATGAAAAATTAGGAGTAATAGCTCACTTTTTCATTGTCTCTCAAGAGATTTGCAGTACAAAAGTGTGTGTGTGTGTGTGTGCGCACGCATCTGTAATAAAGTTAGGGGCTATTACAAAGGTGTAAATTAAAAAATGTGACACCATTAATCTAGAGAAATTCAGATGACCTGGGTGCAGAAGCAAACAAAGTTTTTCTGCATAAACATTTGCAACGACAGAAGGTTAGGCAGCGGGGAGGAATGGCTTTGTTTCACTTTGTCTTGTGTCAGGTCATGTCTCACAACCAAATATGACATGAAAGAATTCAACATAACGTGACCTGACACAAAGAGATGCAAAGTATAGTTGAGGAATGTGGAGCATTTGGGTGAGCAATGAGAAAGAAACAGTTTTAACCAGAGACATATAGTTAGCTCTTCATGCGTGAGTAGAAATTTGGCACCCAGATTTTTATTATTTGTGTCCTAAAACATTTTGCCTCATTACATACTAAATCGGATAATCTGGAATGAATCATTTTTTTTTCACTGATGAAAGGAAGCCTAACATTTATCTTGTCAGTTTAAACTGAGAATGGGGGAAGAATTTGGGGAAAGAGTTGTTTGCTATTCACTACCTTTAGAGGCTTTCATAAAGTAATTACAATAATACAACAAAGAAAACCTCGTTTCACAGCAGCTGGAGGGTGGGAGCCCCCTTGGACAACATTAGCCGTGCTGGAGAAAAATATCCATTCTTGGGCTAACTCTAAAGAATTACATTTTTAATGTTTTGTTTGTCTTTCAGGAACCAGACAGTAAATAGAGTTGTATAGATATAGAGTTAAGCCTTCTCAGAAACTCCAAAGGATGTCCTCAGAGTTGCCATGTCTGTTTTCTGTGGGCTAAATGGTGACTCTGACTATGCACCCATGCAAGGGAGCGTAGGGGAGTAAGAACTCCTCTGGCACACCAACATGGGCTACCTAAACAATGGGTCCTTATACATACAAGTAACAAGGGACTCTATACCCACTGACTCCCCTCCAAACACACACACACATATCCTGGAGTAGGTGGGCAGGAAGGGGTGAGGAATGGGTTGAACATAGTCTCTTTCTCCGTAAACACTGGCCAGTGGTCAGCTAAACCAGTGTGGCAAAGTGGCAGTCATAACTTTCCACTGGTATAAGACAGCAGCAAATTATTGCCATTTCCCCACTCCTCTACCCAGAAAAAGGGTGGCATCAGGGAAGGAACTGTGACTCTGATGTGTGCCTGTGATGCACAGCCCCTATTGGGGCTGTTCCTGAGGTGATGCTGTTGAAACACCACCCTTCTCTCAGGGCTGTACCTAGAGTCATAATGTAGCCTGGTGTGCTTTAGAATGACAAGCAGTAACTCCTAACACCCGGGCTAGCTGTTTTTTAAGTCAGGGTGGATTGTTCATTCATTTGGTTTTTGTGTTAGAACGTTCCTCTTTGTGAGTCTACTGTCTGAAAGCCGTGTCAAATCCTGAAATCCTGCGCATCTCCCACTGATATTCAGCCTGTCACAGTCAATGGACATATAACCTCAATGGACATTGTGGGCAGAGGGTGAAGGATATACATGGCCTTATAAATATAGGCACATTTATAAATGAGAATCTGAGGCACTTTGAAACAAATAATAATCTTTAACATCCATCCCATGCTTTAAATAATCAAAGTGATTTTTTAAACCTAGATAATGAAACCATTGTGTGATGGAGAGGGAACAATATTTCCCTCACTAGAAACTTTATATATGTTCTTTCTTTGGTTGTTTCCCTTAAAAGTAATCTGGATTGACAACCATAACTAGTAGCCTTTTGTGCACACCATGGTTCACTACAGGGGTTCACTGATCTGGAAACCAGCTGAGTTGAAGATGGAGCAGCCAAGGGCACCCCTCTTTTTATTGAATATACACTGTCTATTATTGCACTTTACTCATATAATGCTATATTTATATAGAATTAAAAATAGGATCACACAAGTGATTATACTGCTCCTCTCTGGCCTTAAAATCTATGCATCTATAATAAAGACTTCAAATGCTGTATCTTAATATCCAGCTTTATTTACTTCCCCTTAATGAGTTCCACTTGAGAGGCAAGAATGTGTCTGTTTTTTTAAAAAAACTATACATACCACCTTTCTGAAACTCTAAATCCTTGGTCATGAGATCAGAAGTCCACACTTAGCAATGGGTTTGGAAGTAGTTAAGTGCCGAACTGTTACTGAGGGAGAAAGGTAAACATTAGGTGTCCAGGGTCTGTCTTGTGTTGCACTGCTCCAGCAGTTGTGTTCTAGGTGTTGGAATAATTTTATTATTTTAGGCAGATGTAAGTGATTGAAAATATCACATTACCAACATTGGTGCCATGAGATTTGGCTGCATATAAGCTGGAACAGGATCTAGGTAATTCTTGGTTTGTCCAAAGTGAGAGGATTATTTTTCACAGCATTTTATGTTAATATTAAATGACTTTGTGGCCTCCCTTATGGAAGGACCTAAAGCAGTTAATGATGAATAAACCAATAGGGTTCTCTTAAAAATGTAAGGGTAGACAGTGACTTGAACTACATAAGCAGTAGAGGAAGTGAGTAGCAAACAACTCTTTCCCCCCCAAAAGCAAGAAGGCAGCAGAGAAAGAACTGTGTTTTGGATGTGTTTGACTCAGTCTCCTGGCTTCTAGCTCATGTACCACCCTTTCATCAGGATTGTGCCTAATATATTTTTGGATTGGGATTTTATAAGGGACCTAAGGAAGATAGGAGCTAATGTCCAATGGGGTTTAGGTACCTAACTCCCTTAGGTCCCTTTGAAAATCCTAGTCCTGGCTTTTCATTGTCTCTGTGGAAATGACTCTAAAAATAAAAATGATTTGGATTTAATAATGAATGTTATCCTTTGTGAGGGTTTTCAATTCATCCTATAGAATTCTATAGCAGGAATATAACCCTAGAAAGTTATCTTCCATCAGATTCCATGGGACTTTTCCATAAGATGTGAGTGGGCCAGTGCAGGTAGCATTTCTCACGTCAGACTCCAAGCATTTTTAAACTGATCTTTTAAATACATGTTACGTGAAGATGTAATCTGGGGGGAGTTAAATACTGTTGGTGGTAAATGACAGTGTTTTAGCTGGAGAAAACAGAGCGCATAGGTGTCATTTGGGGGAGAAGAGGGCAAAGATCAATCATACAGGGTCATGAGTTTGCTTTGGTCATTCTGGGTGCATTTGGTGGATTATTTTTTGGTTATTCTGTTAAGCATATGCTTCGTTGTACAATATTATGAATAAGTATTGTGAGGTTGGATAATAAGTTGGGTAGAAATAGGAAGTGGGGGGGATGAATATACAGTAGTAAGAGTTAGGAGAAGAAAAGATGAAGGGAAGAGGGAACTATATAGATCATCCACGCCATGAGACCTACTACACAAAATGGATCCTTCATGAGTAGGGGACTGTAACACCTTTCTTCAATGATGGCTGAATATTTTGAGGCAGAGGGGAAATGTGGTCTTGTGGTTTATATAGCAACATTGCAAAACTGATTTTTGGTTTGGAGAACAAATTGTGCTTCCTTCTGAGATAAGAGAGAGGAAATGAATAACTTCCTCATTATATCTTTCCTCACTAGTTGTAAATCAAGATGGACAACCTCTGATTGAAGGCAAGCTGAAAGAAAAGCAAGTTAGATGGAAGTTTATCAAAAGGTGGAAAACTCGCTATTTCACTCTCGCTGGCAATCAGCTTCTGTTTCGCAAAGGAAAATCTGTAAGTTAGAAGAACATCAGTTTGGTTTGCTCATTTCTCTCCCCAGCATTACCCTCTCCCTTGGGCTTTTCAAGACTATGATTATTCTATCTTCTCCTCACACTACATTGTTAACTTCAGCCAATGGTTTGCTGGCTAAGCTTGTCTAAGCTGTTGAAGGGCTTATGCCTCTTCCTGTGGAGACAAAGGGTGGGCTATTCAAAGACCCTCAGCTTTGGCCTAATGCTCTTCTTTTTGAAGTCAGTGGCAACAGAGTTAGGCAAAGGCTGAGCACTTTTGAAAATCCCACCCTCCATACTTAGGGTTTCAGATAAAAAGATGCAGCTCCTATTGGCTTCAATGGAAGTTGCACCCATGTGACACAGGTAGCTTGCGCCCACCAACTCTTAAAATCTTTTCACATTCCCTTAGTTGGTGACCTATGGCTAAAAGTGCCTTCGAAGGTGAAGGTTTAATTTAGTACCAGGCTATTGTGTCACTAATCCATCTATGCCTTAAGAAATTGCACTGAGTTATAAAAAAAAAGAAGAAAAAACCTAAATGCCTTTCAGTCCTGGTTAGCGATTCTTAATTTTGTTGTTCAAGTAAATGTATGGATAAGCAACAGTGAAACTGAAGTCTGCATAGGTTAAAAAGCAACCATTTGCAAAAAGCCTGGAATACAACAGCAAGGAAAGTATTAATTACATCTTAGATTCTCAAAAGCGATCAGTGATTTTTGGGTGCCAAACTTGACAGACTTTAGAGGGGTTTGATTTTTCACAGGACAGGTGCTCAGCACTTTCTGAAAATCAGGGCCCTCTAAAATATTTCAAGCTGGGTACCCAAAACAAAATCACTATTCTCTTTTTTAAAAAATAAAATAAAATAAAATAAAACGTGGGCTATTTCTCTTGTTTAACTGAATAATCCATACTGACATTATAGCATTCGAATCATCACCAGAAAGGAAATACAAAGTATTGCTGAAAGTAGGATACTAATGTAAGAGTTCTCTGTTTCTCCCAATAAAGGGCTAAATTCTGCTCTCACTTGTCCCAGTGTATAAATCCAGAATATCTATTCTGAAATTTCAGTGGATTTATACCAGAAGAAGAGAGAGAAATTTGGCCTAGTGTAGCTAACACTGCAAAATTAATTTCAATGCTTCTTATTTATCAGACACTCTGAATGGAAAATTACTTTCTTCAGCCATTAGCAATTGGCATTACCAAATACTATGCAAAATGGTCTTTTTTGTTTAGTGTCAGGAACACTTCCAGAGAAGTTCCAAGATAACAGCAGCCTCTTATCAGAGCCTGGCTGAAATTTTGACCCTAAAGCTTAATTTTGCTTCTAAAGAACTTTTATTACCATCTATAAACAAAATCAAGCACTCTAAACTCTAAAATGGCTGCTTAGTCCGTTCCTTTCATGGAGGTAGTACAAAGTTGTCCATGATGCACTTATGCCTTTCTTGGGCAAATGCAGTCCATCAGAGGTTTATTCATAAAAGAACATCTCCCTACTGATTTCCTAATGTGTTGGTTGGGTTTTTAAAGACAAATTAATCTGTACTTTTAAGACCAGTCAATTTTACTATTGGTTGGTGTTTACTTTTTAAAATTTGCCAGAATAATTGTCAACTTCCTCACAAGTTGATTGGCCTATAAAAAACTCTATGCAATGTAATGGGAGTTAATTAGATGCCCTACACTAATAAAGCAACAGGCACATCAGAATGCCTCTAATTCCCATGGGATGTGATTATTGGATGAAAATCAGTCCCCTAAGATTGTTTTACTGCTGCTCTCTTTTGTTAATGCAAGAAATGTATATTGTTTCTCAGACAGAGGAAGGTGGCAGATCAAGTTGTTGAATGTCAGTTTCTTCTCAGCTATATATTTCATACAGATTAATTTACTACTTTTTAACTGGTAAAATCAAAAATTTTGAGCTGTTTTAACTGTTTGTAATGGTAATGCACAGTACTAGACAGGTTTAAGGTACAGTAGTTGCATTCAGGCAAGCGTATTTTTCAAGTATTTGTGTTATATCCTGTTACTTTTACATTGTTGCTGAAATTAGAGCTAGCCAAAGGTACTGGATTGATATCCCTAGAGACTCAAGGCCTGTCTTTAACCTCAGCATGGGTACAGCATGAGGAATGGCATTGAAAGCTTCCCTGCGCAGCCTCACCAGTGTGGCTCAACTCAGTTCTGGAAAGGCTATCTCTAGAGAGAGAATAGGTATTGCAGACTTTTATAGTTGTCCCCTGACTGCAAGGGTATCTATAATAGTGTTGGGCAAATAGAATATAATTGGCTGACTAGCATGAGTGTTGGCCATATTTGGGGAGCTGGATGTTTTGGAATGTCAAAGTATTTGACTGCATGCACCTGAAAGTGGGGTTGGAGGTAGAGACAGACGTTACAAGGATATATAAGTTTCATGAGAGTGTTTCAGGTAACTGATGTCTGAGTTAAGACTCTCAAAGCCAGCTGGTGCTGGATGCATCATGAAATGCATCATGAACCAAAGGACTAGGAAGGGGGTGGTCTGGCTATGCTGTTGGTGTCCACCCTAAGTAGGGTGACCAGACATCAAGTGTGAAAAATCAGGATGGGGATGGGGGGTAATAGGAGCCTATGTAAGAAAAAGACCCCAAAATCGGGACTGTCCCTTTAAAATTGGGACATCTGGTCACCCTAACCCTAAGAGGTAGGAGATCTCATGCCCCAAAACTAGATCTGGCAGTGTATGACACTGTTTTGTATGTTGTTCCCACAATGGGAACAACCAACAGATGTGAACAGTCTTATCCTGTTACTTAGCACTGTGCATTTTGTGGAAAACACCAGTTTCATTCCCACTGCTTGGAGATAGGGGAGAAACACACAGAAAAGGTGCTGTTTTAGTAATGCATCTTTGCGTAGATGGTCTGCTCATGGAGAATGCACGCTACATAGCACCCATCAAACTGTAGTGCTGGGCCTGAGATTTTTTTTTAAACAGAAATGAACATCAGCACTGGTGAAATAGCTAATGAGCTGATAGGCACATCTGCAGTTGTGAGGACTGGCCTAACTACATGACTTGACAAGCTACCAATACCCAGATTTAGTCTGTCTTTTTCATTTTAGAAATCTTTTACATTTGAATACAAAATCATTCCAAATAAAAATTTTAAAATAGGAGAAAATAAAGATTTTGGTGGGATTTTCACCACCCCACACAGTGAGGGTTCCAGTCCTGCAAACCCTCCAAGCCTGTATGTCCATGGAGTCAATGGGCCTTCCCAGATCAGATCATCAAGGTGATCTACGCATCAGTTTACAATAGAGTATATACTATTAAGCTGCGCAGTCACAGGTAATGGCTAGTTAAGTCAGTTTTAGGTATCCATGTCCAGCTGTATGTGGTATTTATTTCTAGTTATTTGAACTGGAAGGTATTTGTATCTGGTTTAGTACTAAAATCCTACCCCACCCCCGCTTTCTCTTGAATTGTTAAACAAGGAATAGTATTATGTGGATGTTCTCCATTTACCTCACTGTGGATTTGAAAATATAAACCAAACACAGAAGAAGTATTGTGAAATGGCCAGCTGGCTGTGCCTGGATATTCCTGTAAGCCTGTCACTACCCTTTCCCCTTTAAAATTAACCATGCTAACAATATTTGCTCTGTGCAAGCAATTATGTGGCCAGTGGGTGAAAGGGAGGCAAAGAAAAGCCAAAATCTGAGAAGCACAAATGCATTGCTCTCCATGTCCATGAAAACTACAGTGGGTCCTATATACAAAAATCTGCCTGAGGTACTAAAACCCAACTCTCCTTAGTAATGTGAGGTCACATCTAGTGTTAATGTGTAGCTTATAATGAGAACAAAAGCTAGTTTGTATAGATAAACTTGGATGTTCAAGCCCTTGGATTTGAACTCCCACAAGGTTCATGGGTGTTCAGATCCAGGCTTTCGTTTCAGGTCTATCACTGGTGTGCCTCGCCTGGGACACCATGGAAAAATGGATGATTCATCTCCACAGTCTTTAGTCCCAGTGTGGTGCCTGAGTAAATTCCATGGTGTGACAAAGTTCCTGCTCTACCTTGGTGGGTCTTGCGCTTATTGGCTGATTTGCTCGCCTTGGAGCTTCACGGCAGCCTTCAGCTTGGCCGTTTTTCTGAACCCACAGTCCAGGTCGACTCCTCTGTGTCTGACCAGGAGTTGGGAGGATTTGGGGGGAACCCGGGCCAGCCCTCTACTCCGGGTTCCAGCCCAGGGCCCTGTGGAATGCAGCTGTCTCGAGTGCCTCCTGGAACAACTCCCTGGGCTACTTCCCCATGGCCTCCTCCCAACACCTTCTTTATCCTCACCACAATGGATACCCCTGGTCTGATTCCACACCCTTTAAAGGGTCTACATAGAGGGTACAGCCATTCTGCCTGTCACTGCCCCCTGGCCATTCAGTGAGAATTAATGGTGCTCATTGCAACATTAACCCCTGTGCACCAGCCTCTACCTGGCTAGAAGAAGGGATGAAGTTCAGGCAGTGGCAATACAGCTCTGCAGTGAGCCATGCTTTGGTGGTTGAGGAACAGGCACTCCATGCTGATGCCACATCTCTTGGGTTGGGGACTAGATTCCTTGTCAGAAGGCCACAGTCCCTGCCTATTCCATGAGCTTGCAAATCCCTCATCCCTGAGAGGATGCTAGCTAGGAATCTCCATGCCCTCCTGCAGGTTTTTCCATCAGTTAAGATAACTTATCCCTCCCTACCTTATTTTCCCTACTTATAAAATGGTGCTACTATTTCATTGACCTATTCATATGTATACAACGAACATATTCAGGGCTTTGTGAACTGTACAATCCTTAAACATATTCATATAAATCTGCCCCCCTATGTGTGGAAACAGTCATGGTCAACCTTCATAAAATTATTGGGGAAATTTATTTCCAACATTTTGCGAAAATATTTACAACACCCAACCTCACAGGCATGATTGAGAGATGAACCAAATTAATGTACATGCATCCGACGAAGTGGGTATTCACCCACGAAAGCTTATGCTCCAATACATCTGTTAGTCTATAATGTGCCACAGGATTCTTTGCTTCTGAACCAATTAATGTTTGCAAAGTGCATTGAATGTATAAAGAACCATTGGCAGTCTCAGCAGAGAGAATGGCTGAATAGAGAGCTCAGCAACTGAATATGCGTAGAGCCTTTGCTCCTCTTGGTCCCTCCAGGGCACAGTGAGACACATCCACAGGCAGTGTAGGGAAGTGTGCACCTTTGCTGTCTGGGCTGTGAATTCATGGAGTACTTCAGTTTCCCGGTGTGTCATTCAGGCACCTTTCACAACCATTAACATTGGGAGATGGGATTGGGAGGGGGCATTATCACAATCCTATATTGGTGGAGGATGTCAACCCTTTGCAAAAGGGTGGGAGTAACATGTTCCAATGCTAAGGTAGGAAAGCTCATGGGCTACTGTGCAATCCTTGCACAAGTAGCCCTAACTGGATTAGTTACATGATTGAGGCAGGATTTTCTAAGGGAATGTGGCACCCAAATCCTGTTGAAATTCAATGGGAGTTAGGAACCGAACTCCTTTAGGCTCCTTTGCAAATCCCAGCCTCAGTGCTCCCCAAAGTGAGTAAGGGTTGCACAGCCTAAAGCTATGGATGTAGCTACTTTGTAGGATCAACAAAAGTTTTCCCTCTGAACTGACTGTTGTGCTCCATCCCCCACCTCCTGTGTTTCAGAAAGATGATCCAGATGACTGCCCCATTGAACTCAGTAAGGTACAGAGTGTAAAAGTTGTGGCCAAGAAGCGCAGGGACCGCAGCCTTCCTCGGGCCTTTGAAATCTTCACCAACAATAAGACCTATGTTTTCAAGGCCAAAGACGAGAAGAATGCTGAAGAGTGGCTTCAGTGCATCAATGTAGCTGTAGCACAAGCTAAAGAAAGGGAAAGCAGAGAGGCAACCACGTATCTGTAAAACTGTCAGCCTGTCTAACCCTGAGCATTTGCATCTGGCTTTGAAATGCAAAGGTACTCAGCCTGTTTATCACAGAACCAAACAAAGTGATAAGAAACAAACCTGATTAGTGGGAGTAGTCCCTGTGGATTCAGTGGTTTTAGCTACTGCTGGGATCGCTCAAGTGAGTAATGGCTGCAAGATCAGGCCCCTAGACAATTACCATTGGCAACAAAGTAGCTCAAAGCAACTCAACTCATTGCTATAAAGTGAATATCTTTCCAAAGATGACTTTAGTTTAGAGCTAATATGGTGAAAGAGGCTCCTTTTGAACATACATCTAATTTACATAGCAAATTCTATATTTTGCAGCATGTTTTATTGTTAGATGATATTGGTAACAAATGATATTGAGAAACTAATCTGACAGACACTAGTGTTAGGGGGCTTATTCCTTCACCCACTTACTTCCCTGGTCCTTCTTGCATGAACAGAGAGCAACAATACCCGAAGTCCAAAGGTGCAAACAATTCGATGTTTATTGGGGTGAACTTCCAGCAAGCATGATTCCAGTTTCCTTCCTTAGTGTCCCCCTTCCCAGCTCTGACACCACAGATCCTTACCTGTGTCCCTGTTCCCATTCCTACCCTTACCTAACATGATTCCAATTTCCCCACCCCTATTCCCTGTTCCCATTTCACCCCCCCCCCCCTTCCTGATTGACTGCAGGCTATATAGTAAAACTTGAGTTCTACTTAGCTATCCTTAACCAATCATTTTCCTCAAATTTAACTAACCAATCCTAACATATTGTAACATGATTATTTAACCAATTATATCCCACCACCTTAATTAGTTTACACCCAGCAAAATTAATTATACAGCAGACAGAAACAATCACAGAACCAGACAGAGATTATACAGAAAAAAAATAGGGAAATGGGGACTACAGTGATAGAACAACAAAGAAATGAGGATTTCACATCCCAGCTATTGATAAGTGAGTTCTTGCCAGACAGGATGCTATCAAACTAAGTTTCCTTTTACATCTTCTAGGCACTTCCCTTTCTCTGGAGGTGATAGGCATTATCAGGAGAGGATTGTATTCCTAACAGCCCAATAGCACCTTATTTCAATGTGACTAGTTCGGAATGTGAGGATCTGACCATTTGCTTCCCAGCTTATGGCTGCCTCTGCTGCTTAGCCAGAGGTGTTAGCCTAAGAACAGGGCCTCAGACTGTCACAGTAAGAGAAGGACCTTACACCAGCAGACAGTGATTTTGATTCTCTTTCTTTCTTTTATACCTCTACAACTAGCTAAGTGATAAGAATACACCTAAATTCTTAGAGTATAGGCCTTTACAGACAGGCCTGAATATCTATATCCTAACAACTGGTACACAAAAACTGGCCTGTATCACTATTTTTAGCATGAGTGTATATATATATATATATATATATATATATACATTTTCTTCACATTGTTACATAAGCAGCTAATCTAGAATGTTAACCCCTCCAAAGTAAAGCAGTTTATGTAATAAAATTCAGCATTCCAAGCTATTTTTGCCTATCCTTTTAAGGTGACTTGATACAGGCTGAAGTGTATATATGTGATTATATTGTGGTGGTGGTGGTAGTATCTCATTTTACCCTTTTGCTAAAAGCAACAAACGAAAACCTCTTCCAGACAGTAACATTTGCAGAGAGATTTCAAAGCCCAGTCATTTCCAAAAAGGCCATTTTCATGTGGAAAAAAGTTTCAAATAAAACATTTTGGTCTGCTTTAATCATTATTCTCTTAAAAGATTTGTGTCTTTGGTTTGATGAGAGAAAGGGTCCATAGTGTATTTTTGAATGTTTCTTGCAAATGCAAAGATAGTACAAAGCCAGAAAAACATTCAGCTTTGCAAAGGATCCTTTATTTTATGTGGCTTCTAATAGGTCAATGTTTGGCCAGTTTGTTTAGGTTTCAAATCATGGGCATGGCCTGAGGAGAAATGGGTAAATGCTAAGGTGCAATTCAGGCTATTTTGATAGAGTAGGACTTGAGTGATTTCAATTTCAGAGATCGATATGCTAAGAGAAAAACTGAAGATAAGGTGGAAACAGTCTATGAACACACTGCTGTGTCAATTGAGAATATGAAGAACTATAAGGCCCTAAAGGATCAAACCAATGACCTGGAAAATAAATTTAGATTAAAATATATTGGGCCTAACTTATCACTGGTGCATTTTCATGGAAGCCAATGGAGTTGCTCCCAGGATGGCCTACTGGGTTCATGATAGTCCCCAAAGGCTTGGAGATAGGACAAGATTAAATACTTTCTTTCCAGTAGATTATAAAGGTGTTGGAGATGAATTACTATAATTCCTTCTTCAGTGTATCATGGAGGTTGGCATCCCTAGAAAGCCCAGTTCGACAACAGTGTTGAAGACAAATAGTGAAGGTTCTGTGAACATAGGCTGTACATAACCTGCTCTGAGTCAGATACTATGTTCTTTACCTGCTGCTGTAAACTAACACTGAACACACCATTACTTGTGAGTTTCGTAAACCTATTTTCAGCTGTCACCATTGAGTCTAATACTTGCACAACTGACTTTTCTTGCAATGGGTGATAAAGTTGAAATTAGCACAGAAATCTGAACCTAGAGGCTGATTTTCAGAGATACCAAGTACTCACAGCTCTTTTGATTTCCGTTGGAGTTGTAGGCAATCAGCAACTTTGAGCATGAGTCCCTAGCTAGAGCTTAAAAATGTTATTCTGTCTGGATTTAAGTCCTCTGACATCTTGGAAGAAATGTGCTTTGATAGTTGGAGTGAGGATAAAAGTATGAACCTGGAACACAAACTGCTTTTATCCTTAGACCTCTCTATCGAGGCCAGGATGATTCTTTTTTTCTTATCCCATCATCTTGCTGCAATGTGTTGGAGGATCAGAAGGCTGGCTGTATCTCAGCAAAGAATATGAGAGATTCATTGGGAATTTTAGCCACATAGGGCATTTTATTTTTCTTAATATCTGTTTCCTAAATGTTACTGCCACAGCTTTTATTTACCAGGGTTCCTAGGCCAGATTTGCAAAGCAGCCTCTAAAACTGCTTTGCAAAATCTGCCTATATTTACAAATACAAATATATATGCATATGCAAATTACAATTTGCATACAAAACCAGGTAATTGTGCAGACAGCTGCCTATTTGCATGTGCAAGTTCTCTTTTGTGCACAAACATTTAGTGGGAGCAATAGCCGTGGCTCTTCACTTATGACTATTTCCATTTATATTATCACCTATTAGTAAATGTTTATATAGCACATTATAAATTCAAGTGCTATACAAGTGCTAACTGGTGGTGGTTTGATTTGTAAATTCACCAACACTCTGTATTTCCTTTTATTGCTGGGGCTGTGTGACCCTTTCTCATGGAGACCAGAACCAAAAGCCACTTTGTTAGCCCTTTGTGTCAGCAAGAGAGAACTTTACTGGAGCTTGAATTGTGTGTTAGCTCCCTCACGCACGAGTCAGTCAGCCTTACCACCAAAGTCCTTGAAACTCTGCCAATCTTAACCTTTGGTTTCAGGTTACATTCAGTGAACCCCAGTTCCCGAATCTTCTGGAAGTGCGTTCCTCTGCAATATCCAGCTCCTATCACAAGACACTCACAGAAATTACCAAGTCTGCTGTCTCCAAAGAGTCAGAATACACACTAGTTTGGTGGCTCATCTGAGGGGGTGTATACCTTGCTTTAGTATAATAGCACTGAGATGAATTTATAATGAAACAAGACTAATTGTATTAAGAAAGACCAGAGATTTAAGTGATACTAAGCAGAGATAATAGAAACAGAAAATCATAACAAATAAACATGCTTGCTAGTGTTTAAAACTTAACAGATTACAAATCATGGCCTCAGTTCTCAGCATCCTCAACCCCCATGGTTGGAGAATCCACCTTTCACAGATTCCAACAGCTCTAGCCCCCTTTTGTCCCTTAAGAGACACACACCTTTCCCCCCTAGGTGATGGCCGGGGGGAGGAGGGGGCGGCCTGGCTTGGCCCCTTCTCCCCCTGCCCCGGAGATTGCTTTAGGGAGGCCCACTGCCACCCACGGGGAGGTCCCCAGGGTCTTCCTCATGGGGTTTGTCCATCCCCCAGCCACAAAAGAGGCACTGGGAAGGGGGTCCTCGCACCAGTCACAGACTTTTGGTCGCTCCACTGGCTGCTCCCTCTTGTTGTCTGGCAGAGAAGCTGGGTGGGTCTGGACCTCAACCCGGCCACCCGGGGCCTCAGGTGCAGTTGTCGAGTCCCTGGGGAGTCTGGCTCTCTCCTCCTGGAGGTTCCACCTCCAGGCATTCCCTTCGATCCCTCGCTCTCTCCTGTCTTCAATTGGGGTTTCTTGTCTAGGATTTTGCTCTGTCCTCAGGGGACCTGGGTCCTCCCCCTCGCTGAGTATGAGGGATGTAGGGGTTTCCCCTCCATTCAGTGGGTTCTCCTGCCTCTTCCTGCTGGAGGGTCCCCTCCCACAGCCTCCTTTCCCCTTTGGGATGGGGCCACCGTCTGTCCCCAGGACCACAGGGTACAGCAACCCATCGACCACCCTCACCTGTTGCCAGGCAAACCAGACCCCAACCTCCAGGGGCACCTGGGCCATAGCCAGGGCCTCAAAGCCCTGTGGATGCACTCGAGCATCATTCACACCCCAGGGATAAACCATTGTGGCTTCACCAGTCCTCTTTGAATAAGGGTGCGGGCTGAGGCCATGTCTACTAAGTCCCTCTGAGGCTTCCTCCCCACCTCCACGGGAATGGTGGCCAGTCCTCACCCCCACTTCTTCCCACAACCATTCGCCCAGCCACAAAATTTTGCTAACCCACATTCCATTTCTGGGCAGTCCTGACATTTGTGTCTCTGCCGCTCACATTGCCAGGAGTTAAGTGTGGGAGGAGCCTGAAGACATCTTGGCAAGTGGCCAGCCAGGTGGCTGGTGGAGAGGCGAGGCCAGCAGGGCAGTTGGCGGAGAGGCACAGCAAGCGGCCAGCAGGGAGGCTGGTGGAGAGGCACAGCCAGCAGGAGAGGCAGGCAGAGAGGTGCGGCAAGCGGCCAGCAGGGCGGCTGGCAGAGAGGCACAGCAAGTGGCCAGCAGAGAGGCTGGTGGAGAGGCATGGCCAGCAGGGCAGCTGGCGGAGAGGGGTGGCAAGTGGCCAGCAGGGCAACTGCCAGAGGGGGCCGGAGCAAAGCCCTGCAGAGAGGCGCAGCAATCGGCCGTTGGGGCGATGAGCGAGTGCCCGAGCAGCAGAGCGTGTAAGGTAACTCCTTACCCCTCCCTTCCACCCATGGTGGGAGGTGAACTCTGCGGATTAATCTCTGAACTCTGGGGCTGCACTGGCCAAGGATAGCGACTGTGAGTCGGGTGCAGAGAAGGGACAGGCATGTTAAAAGATTTTTGGGTTGCTGGACTTAAGAACCTGAGGGGAAAAGGACACTGCCCAACTTACTTGGGGGCGGGTCTTTTGCTCATGGTTTATGTTTATGAACCCCAGTTGCAGTGTTTTCCCAAATTAATGCTAAGTTACTTCCCTCCTTTTATTAAAAGTTTTTGCTACACTTAGACTCTGTGCTTGCGAGAGGGGAAGTATTGCCTCTTAGAGGCACCCTGAGGGTGTTGTGTAATTGTCCCAGGTCACTGGGTGGAGGCTCAAGATGATTTTGTGTTGTATTGTTGAAAAGGAACCCCCTAGATATTGAACCCAGCCCTTGTTGCTACCAACTCTGACTGGCAGAAAGGTTACACACCCATTTGTATCACTATTAAGTATTTATTGATTGTATTTCAGTAATGCCTGCAATGTGCTAAGCAGGGGCATCATTTGCTAGGACAAGGGGGGCAATTGTCCCCCCAGACCTTGGTATGCACCTCCCCCCATGACTGTCCACAGCCTATATGCTCCTTTATGTCTTCCACTTGTTGCCCTCCCTCTGCCCAACATTGTGCAGGATATACTATAATTCATATAGCGTTCTATAGGCTGACACAACTTCCCCCCGCCCGACTCTGAATTTTTCTGAAAATAAACCCCTGATGCTAGGTGCTGTTCCATACATAGAGGATGACACAGTTTCTGATCTGAATACTCATAATCTAAGAAGTCAAGCAAAACACAAAGGATAGGAAAGGATACATTAAAATGTATACAATTTTCATATAACGGGTATGTTATACACATTGTTATATACATTGGGCCATATCCTCATCTGATGTAAATTTGTGTAGCTACATTAATCTCAGCATCTAGGACATTTTGGGTACAATTAAAATACAAATAATTTGAAGTCTTTGTAGCTATGCCCATGTATACTAACTGAAGAACAGGCCCATTGCCTTTTTCCATTTATATTTAAATATATAGTATACACAAGCTATATTAAATTGCCCCACACTCTATCCAATGCTATGGCTGAATTTGGTCTTGGTTCAGGGGAAGATGGCAGGATGAATGTGGCCCCAAATGTGTAAATTGATACAATTTATATGTTGGAAGAAGCAAAATGACAGTAGCAGGAAAAAACAACCAAAAGGAAAATGTAAGAAGGGTTGAGATAAATAGGGCCATCTGACTTTATCTTCTTGTACCTTTCATGCCATCCTGTTGGTTGTACTTTTCCTGCCTATCATGTAATTTACACCCATTTACTTACGTGGAATTTACAGTACCACTTATATCAGCTGTGAACATGTACCAGGGTCTCTGGACTGAGAAGACTCTGTTCACTTCAGAAAGAACCTCAAGGTGGAAAGAAAAGGCAATCTGGGAAACCTCAGTTGTCTGAGAAGAAGAAGGGAACAAGGTGAGTTAGTCACTCAATGTCACAGGCCTAAATCTTTAAAGGATTTATGTGCTACCATACTAAAATACCAATCTCACAAGCATATGCTTAACTTTATTCACCTGAGAGGTCCCATTAAGGCCAAGTGACTTTTAAGTCCATGTGATTCCAAGTCCATGTGTGTAAAGTTTAGCACATGTATATGGGAATGCAGAATTAGGGTATTAGTTTCTGAATTGTGTTTTACATTAAACCTTACATTCATTCATCCAAGGAACCCAACTGAAATTTGGCAGGGCTGGATATTTTTTCAAAAAATTTATTTTTACAGAAACTACTTCTGAAAACAGTCTATTTTTCTTGCTTTTTCAGGGCTTTATAAAGTATCATTTTGATGCTATTTTTTCGGTCTGCCATCCATGTCTGTTTCATCCCTAACTTGGTGTTTCTGATTGATTGATTGATTGATTGATTGATTTTAAATAAACCATGTGGATGTGCAAACCAGGATGGAAAATCCATTTTTATCGTCAGGTGGTTTCAGCAAACTTTGTGTGAAATTGTACAACATGGCAATTACGTCTTTGCTGCATCTATTCTACAGTGGTTTTGCAATCCACCTTTTTTCTAAAGCTATCAATCATTTAAATCCATCCCTTCAATGTCAAGGAGATTGAAACAATATGTAGTTAGAGACCCCTGTTTCTGTGCCAAAAATAATTACATAAAATAAGAAGCCTAACTTTAGTTATCCTGTATTAGATTCAACCTTGGAATAAAATTAAAGGGAAATACAGCTGGCATCCTGTCCTATTTGTCCTTCTAGAAGGGGACACACAGAAATCATCATTATGATGGGAACAGGAAAATGTCAAAAAAAACCCCACAACCCCCTCGCTGCTGCAAATTTCTTACTTGAACAGGCATATAAAATGTTTTATAAAGGTTTTGATTTTAAATTTCAATATTTTAAGTAATGTTTATGCCAGAGGTGGGCTAACTACAGGCCGCGGGTCACAGCCGGCCCATGGGACCATCCTGCCCAGCCCTTGAGCTCCTGCCTGGGGAGGCTAGACCCTGGCCTGTCCCTTGCTGTCCCCTGTCCCATGCAGCATCAGCTAGCTGCGCCACCAGAGCTCTGGGCAGTGTGGCTGGCTCCTGCCGGGCCACGCAGCTGTGAGCTCCTGCTGCTCTGAGCGGCATGGTAAGGGGGAAGGGAGCAGGGGGGTTGGATAAGGGGCAGGGGGCCCCGGGGGGCAGTCAGGGGACAGGGAGCAGGGGGCGGTTGGATGGAGCGGAGGTTCTAGTGGGGGAAGGGTGGTCAGGGGATGGTGAATGGGGGGTTGGATAGGGCATGGGAGTCCCGGGGGGCCTGTCGGGGCGGGGGTGTGGATAGGGGCTGGGGCAGTCAGAGGACAGGGAGCAGGTGGGATCCTCGGGGGGCAGTTAGGAGTGGGGGGTCCCGGGAGGGGGTTGTCGGGGGACAAGGAGCACGGGGGTTGGATGGATGGGTCAGGGGTTCTGAGGGGGGCAGTCAGGGGCGGGAAATGGGAGGAGGCAGATAGGGGCCAGGGGCCAGGCTGTTTGGGGAGGCACAGCCTTCCCTACCCGGCCCTCCATACAGTTTTGCAACCCTAAAGTTTGCCCACCCCTGGTTTATGCCCAGGTTGACACATGCTAAACTGGGTTCACTGTTGTCCTTAAACCAGTTAATGTTTGGTGTCAAACATTGTAGTATATTTTCTGATTTAATTTGTTTTTTTCCTTTAATGGGCCCATCCCTGCTCCCAAAGAAGACAATGGCAAAACTCCCATTGACTTCAGGGGGTGGAAGATTGGGCTCATCATGTTACTTTGGCATGTAAATGTGTATGTGGCAGCAGTGCTAGAAAATAGATTCAAATGGCCCCATTGCTTTCTACAGAACCTATGTTCCTCTCTTCCAGGAAACAATTTATCTTCTGTCTTGCACAACTCCCAATACAAAAGATGTCATTTTCTCTGGGGAGTGTAACACCGCACAATTTAACTTTTGCTGAAGTATTTTAAAACCCAAGTTATTTGTTTGAATGAGATTTTCTCCTGAAAAACCAGAGATGAGAAGTATATGGACTGTTGTCTGGGGTCTGCAGCTGAGACTTTATGGGATACCAAAACCAAGTACTGCTTGTGCCCTAAACCCACACTGCTATACAGTTAGGAGTAAAGGAGTGGGGCATTGGGTCCAACTGTCTAATAACTGGGTTCTACATCCCCGATTGCCAATCCTCTCAGTTCCTCAATCTTACTGACAAGCACAAAGAATATTATGGCACTGTACTGAGGCGGAGTGGCCTCCCTCCAAGCCAGAGGGGGAAGGGCCACTTTCTGGGTCTGGGTGGGCGGAGCCAGGCCAGTCCCACCCCTTGCACCAGAATTTGAGAGGTGGGACAGTAAGTATAAGAGTGGGGACTCCAGCTAAGTTAGGCCAGAGCCAGGGAAGGAGACAGATGCCTCTCACTTGCTGCAGAACTCTGGCCCTGCTACTGAATTGGGTAGCACCCTGACTCCAGAAGAGACAGAGTCTGGAAAGGAGCCGCTGAGACTGCTGGCAGCCGAATACCCCAACAAAGCCAAGGACCCCTGCACGACAGAGCTCCCTCCACGGACTGTGGTAGGAAGTAGCCCAGGGAAACCAGACTCTAGTCTGGTTTTGCTGTCAGTGCTCAAGTCGGCGTGTTTCAGTAGGATTCCCACTGACCCAGTGACAGGGCCCTCCACCCCTGGCAGAGCTCCTGGCTGGAACCTTGTGGAGTAGGGTGGGCTTGGGGTCCCCTTACCCCACTTCTGCCAACCACAACCCTGTGATGGCAGCCTCCCCACCATAGGCCCAACAGACCATTTTTGGTGCTCTGCCCTGCCTGAGGGCCAGAGCTTTCTAGACTGTTTCTTGCCCTGTCCCACTTGAGGGCCAGAGCCCCATAGATCGTAGCCCTTTGCTTTGCTAATTCCCCCTTTGTGGCTGGGCTGACCCCACAGTGATGCAGTGGCCTTCGTCTGAGCCAGATGGGGAGGGATGGCCTTCAACCTACTACGGGCACAAAGTATATTTTAAATATTCCTTACAAGGAAAATAATCAGCCTTTTCATGGTATAGCTGGTTTCTAACATGTTTGTTCTGCTATGTCACACAAAGATCTCAGGATCTATGATGCTGTGAACCATA